CTGCTGGAGACAGAAAAATGAGTTTAAGAAAGTCGTAAGATAAGGAGAAGGGAAAGAATTCAAGTTGTTAAGTTCGTCTGATCTGTTTGAGGCAGTGATGCGGAAGTTCCAAAATTTTGGCGGTTCCAGTTCCGGAAATGTAACTCCCGCATCACTGGTTTGAGGTTGTCATTCTGAGGAATAAACACAAAAAAATCCTTATTTTTTGACTTTTTCAGAGTTAATTTTTGTTTTTAATTAGATGAAATTCCAATAAAAAATAAAGAAACGGCTTTAATTAAACAAAAAGAAGAAAAATCAGAACATCCAATTAATGTACAAGTTGAAGAAAATATTACTAAAATAAATGAGAAAATAAAATCTGTCGAAAATTCCCCTCCAAAACAACAAAGAAAAGAAACAATTAAAACACAACAACAACAAATAAAAAAGAGAGAAAAACAAGTTGTTGAGGTTAAACAAGAGAGGGAACATTCCCCGAATTTTCATTATTTACCTGATGAATTTGCAATAGAACAGAGTGACCATTACTCTCTAACTTGCCATTTATTTCCTCGAATGTCAGAAAGCAATTTACAATTTCATGATATTTATTGGGATAAAAACGAGCAGGTAAAAAGTAGAGGAAATTAAGTAGAGGAAATTGAAGAGTTCTGAGGAGATAAGCAGTCCTAGACTATACTGCTCCTTCCGGTTTACAAACGGAAATTAACCTTAACGTTTAGAGAAAAAAAATGGGAGAATGTATTAAATTGTAATTATTTAAGAGACCTTTCCGGAAAACAGAATCTCTGTTATGTTAGGCTGAGCACCAAAATTTTCAAATTGTTAAAATATGCCAAACACAAAACGCCAAAAATGAACGCCAAATTTTTATAAACGTATAAATTTAAAAAAGGGCCCGTTTTCCCTTTTTTTTTAGCATTTTTTCCTTATTTTGAAAGGTCAAGAAATCTTTTAATTTATCGTGCTTATTGGCTCGAAAAAGAGGGGACTCTTTAAAATAATTTTAGTAAAATTTTAAAAACATTTTAAATAGGGAGAAGTAATGCTTCGTAAACGTCATGTTTGTGTAAACAAATTAATTATTTCTCCGTCTGTTCGTTTACAAGAAGAAGCTGATAAATCTTCTTTAACTTCAACATATAAAGCTAGCTTTTCCCTATTTGATAGACGCCCATTTGCAAAAAGACAAATTGTTTCGAATATTTTTTCTGTTCAAATTCCAGTTCAGGAAAGTGGAATTGTTGCTAAAGTATTCCAAAAAAGTGAGGATAATTTTTTGGTACTTTTCCATTATAAGACCGCAAACTGAGTGCTAGACGAATTTGATCGGCTATAAATTTTTGATGCATGATCCAATACAAATGAATTTTATATCATTCGGAAGCCCTCGATAAGCGGTATCTTTTTACCAGTTGGTTGGATCAAGTCTGATCGACCGCTAAAAAGTTACAAGTCGATAGGTGCAAGAAATCGTTGTTTTTCACACTTATCAACTTGTAACTTTTTAAGGAGTGATCAGACTTGATCCATCCTATGAGAAAAAAGATACCGCTTATCGAGGGCTTTCGAATGATATAAAATTCATTTGTACTGGATCAAGCATCTAAAAGTTATAGCCGATCAAATTCGTCTAGCACTCATGCGGTTGTATAACGGAAAAGTACCAAAAATTTTTTTGAAAAAATTAAATTTCTCTCTAAAAAAGGTCAAATCAATTCCTCAACAATTTTAATTCGTTCAAATTATTGTCAAAAAAAAGTTGCCCTTCAAATAATTTTGGAAAAATATTCTTTAACTTCAAATAATGTTATTTTAATTGGAAATGTTGAGTTAGAATTATTGGGAGAGAAAGGACAAGATTTACTTGGAAATCGTTCATTTTCTCATTTATTCGAGAATGGAGTTAGATTGGAATTTAGAACTGGAAATGTTCCGACTGGAGAAGTTTTGAAGACTGAGTTAATTTTTTAATTTTGTACTATCACAAACTCTCTCTACATCTTATCTAAATAACTAAGACTGGGGTTTTCGAGTCGGGCCGACGTACAAGTCATTTTTTCGGGCCTCATTTTTATCGGGCCAAAATTCGATGTCCAACTCGATCTTTCGGACCAGACCGGGCCCCTACCCCTATACACAACCCCCACATATCCCACCTCTTTAATCCAGGGCTCTCATCGACAAAATGCCACTCAAAAGTATCAAAATCTTGATAAAAAAGTATATAGGGAGAAAATTTCCAAATTTAAAGTATACTCCAAATTAAATTGGAAAATATTTATTCGTGCTAAAATCTTTTATATTTCTCTCCTAAATTAATCTTTTCTAATAATTTCTTGCTTCCACTGAGCATTTTGTGCATTTCAACGCATGACATGTCAAAAACGCTGATCAAGCAAATTACTTTCATCCATTTTCAGCGCCGCAGCGATAATTTTGAGAATTTTAGAGCTCTAGAAGCCAGATTTCTCCCATTTTCAGCGCCGCAGGCGAAAATTTTGATAACCTGGATTCGAACCCACCACACGAAATTTCTAGGTAAGCAAATTCAGTCAACCTAACCACTCAACCACCGACCTACATAATGAATGGTGAAAGAAATTATAAATAACTCTTTCCCTTTTCCTTAAAATAATTTTATTTCGAAGTAGGAGAGTGTTTTTTAAAAATAAAAGGTCTAAAAAGCCGTCTTTAGGGGTGAGTCCATCCCTGATAACTTCCGCATATAACTACACAAACACTCTTGATCCTTAAATATCGTGCCCAAATTTCACATTTTGGAGTTCAAGAAGCCAGATTTCTTCCATCTTCAGCGCCGCAGGCGAAAATCTTTTGAAATTTGGAGCCCAAGAAGACAGATTTCTTTCTTTTTCAGCGCCGCAGGCGAAAATTTTGATAATTTCGAAGGCCCAAGGCTAAAAAAATTCACTTTTTTGCCCAATCCCTTCCCCAATTTCATTCTCAATCAAATATGTTGATTTCAAAGTATATACTTTCAATAAAGTATAAATTCAATTTCTTAAGTATGGAGGTCGGTTTCAAAGTATAATACTTTCAAATAAAGCACGAATGAGAGCCCTGCTTTAATCTCAACCTTTCCATAGCCCATCTTTCTTATCACACATTTCTATAACGAGTTCACACATTTCTATAACATTCTAGAGAAGGGACAATTGGGGGCTCCCATACAAAATCTCTATTCCTTAAAATCGCTATTCCTTAAAATCTCTACTAATCTAAAAATGCTTAAAATCTCTATTCCTTAAAATAACTATTCCTTAAAATCTCTACTGTGGTAAAAATAATTAAAATCTCTACATCGTGCAAATGGATGGTAGAGTCTCAACAAAAGTGTAAAATATGAACTTTTCATTGGAAAACCCAGACTTGGTAATGGATACGGATATGGATACAATTGATTTAAAAATGGCTGCGGATATCAGAGATATAATACACGACTGCATCGCTGCGGTCGTGTTCATTTTTCTTGCGGTAATCGTATCGAAGCGGCTGCTGTCGTTCCGCTGGACATGCCTGGGTTCATCCGCAGCGGCAAAAACACACAATACAAGCAAAAGAAATCAGAACAACGTTTCCGCACTGAACGTTGGCACTCAAAAGGCTTCCGAATGAAAAATAGACATTTTATCCTATTTTTGGCCGTGTAGAGATTTTAAGGCGTTTTACCCGTGTAGAGATTATGAGGAATAGAGATTTTAAGGAATAGTTATTTTAATAATTTTTAGCCGAAGAGATTTTAATGCATTTTAGCTGTGTAGAGATTATAAGGCATTTTAGCCCAGTAGAGATTTTAAGGAATAGAGATTTTGAGGGGATACGCAATTGGGAGGGTTAAATGACAAATAATAGGATATGATAGAGATTGGAGTGTTTAATAAATTTATTTTCTCTTAAAGTTCACTACCAGATGTACTAATCTGTGATGAAAGATGGATTGGAATGTTGGCAATATATAGACAATTACTTTGTGAAAGTCTTGCTAAATATGGAAATGTTTTTGCTGACAGACCTTGTAAAATTAAAATAAATTCTGAGAGATATTCCTTTGCTTCTTTATAAAAGAAACAAACAGATAGTTTGTGGTGTAGTGGTTTTATTTCCAAACTACCCCGGTTCGAATCCTTTTGTCGTTATTTTCTTCTTCTATTCATTTTTTCAAAGTTAACTTCTCAAATTTTAAATCTTATTCTTAAAAAATGTTTTTTCTAATTTAAAAAGCAATCCTTTTCGACCCAATAATTGCCAACTTTACACTAATTCTTGACAAAGACCAACCCTTTGCCGAATTAATACTTAAATTATTACAAAAATATGGTGCTCTAAATGTGAGAATTTTTTAAAAATTTTTAAATTAAAATAAAATTCAAATAGAAAGAAATAACCCCTCAAGAATCTGTTCGCCGTTTTCGACATGTCTGTAATCAATTTATGCTTCCCTCTTTAGCTTTAATAAATTCTGAAGGATGGAAGGAAAAAATAAAAAAATATTTAAATGGGGAAATTAAAGAAGAGCCTAATCCAATAAATTTATTGTCAACAGAGCCTTGTAAAATGATTGAAATTTCGGATTTTCAAATATTATTGTGTGGAATACATTCGCTCGATTAAATTTTTTATTATTAAAAAAGTAAGGCATTTAATAAAATTTTAGAAATAATCACAAAAAAATAGCCTGAGAAAAAAAAAGAAAAAGGCAAAGAAGAAAAAATGAATTTGAAAAAAAAGAACCGTAAATGAGAGGGGTTTTTTTTAAAAAAGGGGGTAAAGACCTCCTGAAAGGAAACCCCTAACTCTAAAATATAGAGAGCTCGTTCCTGAAAGTCCCCAAGATACATAGTTTTGTGTTACAGAAAGAGAATATGGGCTAGAAAATTAGAAAAGTAAATCACCGAATATTTGAATGAGAATATACACATATTCAGAACATACTCGAGATAGAATCGTTAACATAAAATAGTTTAAGGCATTATCAATTATTCTCTGTCAATTTCGCTGCTTTTTTGACTTGTTGTTGACGTTTCTCGACTACTTTTGCTTTTAGATTTTGCTGTTTTCATTTCAAAAGTTGGAGGGGGAACAACAAGCATTGAGGGAGAGGGCCATTTATTGAGTAATTTGTTGTTTTTGTTGTTATTTTCTGATGTATTTGTTGAAGGTAAAGTCTAAATAAAGAATAAAGTTTAGGTAATTAAAACTGTTTTTAAAAGAAAACATTTTGATTTAAGATCGGACCAAACAAATATTCAACGTCGGAAAATCCAAATTTTTTCAAATATAAAATAATTTACTCAAATATTTGATTTCGCAATCCAACCGATCTCTAATTTTGATAAGGAGAAAATTTTTCTAGTTAACGTTTATTTTCTTATCCTGACTCAAAAACCGACTTAAGGTACCAATTTATGATTTCTCCCTTAAAAGAGACTGGAAATTATTTAAAATTAAGAAATACCCAAACTCCGTTAAAATAAATTTAAAAGGAAATGTGCCACTCCAAAAACGTATGTTTCGAATTTTCTGGGTTAGATGGGGAAAAAGACATAAAGAAAAAAACAAAAAGACATCAACGCTTTGGAATAAAAACTTTTAATTATTTTTACTTTTTCAATATCCTCCAGATTAATATTTTCTTCTTGTTTTGTTGTTGTTATTGGCATTGAAGGTCTTTTCTTTTTTGAAAATAATCTTTTCATTGCATCAAATTCTTTTGCTTCTTTTTGAAAATTTGTTGATAATTGTTGTTGTTTTAAATTATTTTTATCTTCTTCTTTTTCCTCCTCCTCTCCTTCTTCATCCTCAAAATCACCCAAAATATCAGAAGAATTCGAATTTGTTTCATCTGTTGTATTATCTATTTCTAAAGAATCTCTTCTTTGAAGAACTGCTTGTCTCATCTTTTTAAATTATAAAAAATTAAAAATTAAATTAATAATTCAATTACCAAATATCGTTCTCTTCTAAGTTGTTTAATTATTTCTGTAGGCATATCTGGTATTATATAAGCAAACATTGCTTTAATAGTTAGTACAATTAACTGGGAAAAATTTAAAAAAAAAATATTTTAAAAAACTTGAATCTGTAAATTATTTTGAATTTAAAGAGATTAATTTCTATTTTAATTTAAAAAGTGAGGCTGAATATATTACAATTGAACCAACTTTTTAATTAAACACAAAATCCCCCAATATACATTTTTTAAATTTGATTGTTGAAGGGGGGTCTCGACTTACTATATATCACTCCACAATAGTAAGTCGAGAGTTCCCTATCGAATGGTACCAAAAAATTATCAAATTCGCACTGACAGTAAACGATGTTCCCTTGTGAGTGGAGGGCCTATCTAACAATAAACGAAACTCCCAATTTAAGTACACCAGCCCATTATAAAATTTTATTTTTCTGCCCCAAGTTCGAATGTTTTATGTTAGACACAAAAAAACTAAAAAAATAACAACTTTACTTCAAAAACCAAAACAAAAGCAAGTCTAAAAGCCAAAATAATCCACCAACTATCAGTAAATTCATAATTTTCAGCACAAGGAATATCAAATGTAAAATTATAATTTTCGAGAGAACAAGGAGGTCTTTAAATTATAAATAGAAAATTTTTTAAATAACTAAAAAACCTTCTCAAATCCCAATATCTACAATAATTTTGTGTTGGATACCCAGATTTTTCAAATTCTAATTTTGAAGAATCAAAATAAGAAAGTGTTTCATTTACATAACTTTAACAAAAAAAATTTTTAAGAAAAAAAACTTTTTTAAATTAAAAGAAAAACCCGTGTAAAGTCCCTTGTGTCATTCTATAATAAATTTTAGGTATAAAATCAGAAGTAAAAGCAATTACAAAAGCATTGCATAATACAGCAATATTTGAAAGCATATTTATTATTGTCTAGAAAAGAGAAAAATTATTGTTCGAGAGAACTTTAAAAATTAAAAAAAAAACAAAAAAAAATAGGGAGATGGATGAGAAACCTAAGATTTCGAGGTTATAGAAGATTCGGTCTAATTAACTGACAAATGGAACCATTTTGGGTGGAAGTGTCGGATCGATCTGAGTTTTTTAAATGTTGTGGGTCTCATTAGGTTTCTATTGTTGTTAGAAATTCCTTAGCAATCGATCAACAAAAAAAGATCAAGTCTTTGATTATAATTCAACTTATTTGTTAGGTGCGGATATACAACATATCCCCCATCTGCCCCAAAAGGGTCCTCCTTGCCAGTCATTTAGATCGAACTTTGTGTATCTTCAAAATTTCATTCTAACATATATTGTTTCCTATTCCATTTTAAAACAAACTAGCCATTCTTTCTTTTAGAAAGAAAAATATTTTTTAAACAAAACTTACAAGCCAAACACCAATATTTCTAGATTGTGCAGGTACAGGTCTTCTCATAGTCACAATAAATTTATAAGCATCAAAACGAATTTCGAAAATATTATTAATTAAAGCTAAAAGTGGAGCTAGAGGAAATGCTGCCACGAATAATGTACAAAATCCAAGTTGTATAACCATCTCTAAATATTCGTCAAAAAGAAATTGTTGAGAGACGGGGTTTAAGGCATAATCCTTAAAAATAAAATATAAAGTTAAAGACGCCTTTCGGGGTTGAAAGATCTCTAATAATGAGAAGACTTTAAATTAGAGAACGGCACGGGACAATCCCGCACTTTTTTCAATTTGTTTTTTCAATTCTAATCCCGCACTTTTTTTAATTTGCGGGATTATTCCCACGGGATCCCGTCCCACAGATTAAAAAAAATCTCGCATGCGGGATCCAGCTAACGCGATTTTGCCGGTCTCTACCTTAAATTAGGTTATCGAGTAGTCAACCCTTTCCCCTCGATTTTATATTAAATTAAAAGACAATAAATAATCAGATATTCCAGACAAATAAAAAAACACAAACCTTTTCACACAAACAAACATTAGAATCAGGCGAATTTTCCTTCTCTTTTTTAATTCTTTCAATTTTTTGTTGTTCAGTTTCAGGCTTTGAAAGTCTCCAACGTCTAAACCAATAACAAACCATTCTTAAAAAATTAAAAAAAAATTTTCAGAATTTCAATTCCTCCTTACGGATATGCCAATTCAATAAATCCATTAATTGCTTGTTTCCCAATCATAATAACAATTAATTGAATCATCAATTCCACCATACAACCAGCAGCCTCACACCTCTCTAAACGAATATTTCCAACTTTGAGTTCATGTGGATCTGCATATCCTCCTGTTGAATTTGTGGGAGTTCCTGGAATACCTGCAAATCTAAAAAAATTAAAAATAATTTTAATCTCAAATTTAAATAAATACCAAACCTTCCTTTAAAGAATGCAATGTAAAACAATGATGAATAAAAATTGACAAATTGAAAAAGAAAGACTGAAAAAAGAAAGCTAGTAGAAATTGTATTTTATACTTCACAAATTTATTCTGATTATAAGGACATTGGGACTTCAAAGTATTTTATTTAAATTTGCTTTTATAGATATTGTGGATGATGTTTTTAAGCTATAACCAGATCTCTTTTCGAAAAAAATGATTGGACATTTAGGACTTAATGTAGACATTAATTCCCGATTCTACTTAACCGTGCTGTATATCTTTTATGTATATCCTTTATGGATATAAATCAGGAGTGAATTTTCTTCCGCTTCTGCAGAATTTGCCTTTTTTGACCCTTCCGCTTTCGTCTACCGCCTTTGTATTTTATTCAGCTTTCTTTCGCTTTTTAAAATCCAAAATTATCCATCCCTGATATACAGCACAGTTAAATTTTTTGAAAAGAAGTTGTTTCAACTAATAATTATCAAAATATTGATTTATAATGACATAGTACTTTTAAATTTAAATAAAAAAAATTAAAAACCTTTAAATGTAAAAGAATTATCAAATTCACTTTGAGTTCTAGGATATTCCCAATTTGTTAATTTATAAGCCAATTTATTATAAAAATAATTCATACTCATAATAAATATTAAATTAATTAAAGCAGCTGTGGCGGAAGTAAATATAACTGCTTGCGATTGAATAAATTCGCTGTTTTCTCTAGCATTAAAAACACCTCTTACAATTATTCTATAAACAATAATTCCAAATAAGAGGGCAATGACCAAACAAATCTATAAAATTTAATTTTTAAATTATTGGAATAGAGGAGGTTAAATTAATTAATTAAATGTAATTAATTTTTTGAATTTTTAAATGGCCCTTTAAATGGTAATTTTCGAGGACCAGTGAAAAGGATCATGCGAAAAGGATTAAGGAAAAGGCATTCGGTGATAAAAATTATTCATAAAAACAAATAGGCAGTCTCTTATATAATTGAAAAGTTGAATGCCATAATTTTAAAATAAATCATCTTTCACTCTGCCTGGCGAGCAGAGTTATACGAACTTTAATATGAACTACTTAAAAAGCTGGGTAAAAAACTAAAAAACATTATTTCTAATTTATTAAAGTCCAAACCCTCAATGAAAACTGTTTTTCAAAACTAAACTTTAGCATCAAAATTTGTGGAAACCAAGAAAACTTAACATCTTCGGTCAGAATTAAAATCGAAAAGCTTTCTAAAAACTAATAATTTAAGTAAAAGAAAAACAATTCTACACCGATTCTCTTTCCAAAAAATTTTTAAAAACTTACAAAAAATAAAACAGTTATAGCCGATCCAAAAATACGAAGAGCTTTTTCTGCAAGTGAAATATAAGGCTCCTAAAAATTAAAACAAAATTTAAAACAAAAAATACTCAAAAAACCGCTTCTTTCGTCACTCTATTAATTTTCATTTTTGCTCTCTTATAATATTGATATTCTGGTCTAATAACTTCTTCATCAGGTTCATACCCCAAAACATTCCATTTATAAGCCAATTCTGCATGATATCTTTTCCATAATTCAACAAATACAGTCATCCAAATAGACATTATAACAGTAAAAGCAATTGTTGCATAATTGTCAAAAACATATGCCGCCTGAAATACTTAATTGTTTCTTTAGAAATTTATTTAAAAAAATATTTATTTAACAATTTTCATAAGGGGCTTTATTGGCCCCAGAAGCCCCTACACCCTTTATAAGGGGCAAGGGCGTATCCAGGGGGGGCTAGAGCCCCCCCCCCCCCCGAAATGGGGGAAAGGGGGAAAAAATTAGGAGAAGGATGGTCGAAAAAGTGAAATTTTTTCGCCTACAACCCTCAAATTTTAAAAAATTTTCGCCTGCGGCGCAAAAAATGGAAGAAATCTGGCTGCTTGAGCTCCAAAATCCTCAAAATTTTCGCCTGCGGCGCTAAAAAGTGAACTTTTTTGGCCTACGGCCCTCCAAATTCAAAAAATTTTCGCCTGCGGCGCTAAAAAGGAAGAAGTCTGGCTTCTTGGGCTCCAAATTCCAAAAAATTTTCGCCTGCGGCGCTGAAAAAGTGAAATTTTTTGGCCTACGGCCTTCGAATTTAAAAAAATTTTCGCCTGCGGCGCAAAAAACTGAATTTTTTTGGCCTACGGCCATCTAAAATTAAAAAATTTTTCGCCTGCGGCGCTGAAAATATAAAAAGTTATGTACAAAAAAATTTGCCGTAGGAACGCCAAGGTAAACGCCAAAAATTTTTGCGCCCACTCAGTGTTAGCCCCCCCCCCCCCCGAAACCGACCCCCTGGATACGCCCTTGATAAGGGGCACAAAAATATTTACCAAGTGGTCTATAACTAGACTTATGAAAATCGGAAAAATCAACCTGTTCTTTATGCTACCTAAGTTAGTTATGCCTAAAGTACTATTATATAAGGGCTCATTGAAAGAACGGTATGCTCCCATTTCAGAATAAACCGATAAGGAAGGTAGAAAAACTTCTTTAAATTTATAGTGAAACAATCAGAAAAAATACTTTTGAATTTAAAATAATTTTTTAATTATCTATAAAAATCAGTTTTTGTTTAAAATAACAAAGAATAAACAAAATTAAGAAAATTTGAAATCAAAAATATTTTTTGCTAATTTATTTATTAAAATTAGGGAAAGACCAATTTAGAATTACAATTAAACTTAAAATTAAAGAAAACCTTTGAGTAAAGACAAGTACTGTTTAAAGGAATATAATCACAAAATTTTTCACAAGCAGGACAAAGTAATTCTTGAGACACAGAGCCATCTGGTCCATAACAAATATCATTACTTGAAATATCTGTGCTCATAGTAAAAAGTCCATAAATAACGCAAATAACACCCAAAATTGAAATAGGATATAAACAACGAGTATAGAAGCCTAACCAAGCAAAATAAAAAGCAATTTTTGTTCCATAATATTTTTAAATTCTGTGAGGGGAAAAATTGAAATAAATTAAAATTTTAAAAAATACTTACAAATCTAGAGGTTGATATTTAACGAGATTTTTTAGTTTAACCCATGTTTCGTATAACAATTGACGATCACTGGGGCATGTTGAATAATCATCGGTTTTTGAAGAAGTATCCAATTCCTATTAAAAAAGTAGTTTAAAAAAGGAGGGAGCAGGCAAACGTACCGCAAAGCCATAACTTTATTCAAAATAGTCGAATCCGGGACCCTTACTATAGTTAGATGCAACTCGACGAGCTGAATCGAACAATATCAGGGTGTCACGGATTCGACCATTTTAAATAAAGTTAAAGCTCTGCGGTATGTTGACCTCGCGGTACGTTGGGTGTACCAAAAAAAGGAATAAATTGATTAGTTGGGTTAGAAAAATATTTGAAAGTCTCTAAAAATTACTATATTCTAAAAATTTTATGTTGCGGCATTCGAATGGGTTTTGGACATTTCGAAATATAAAGAAAATTTTATACGTTCTATTCTTTCAAAAATATTTTCTAGCTTATTCTTTTTTTAATTAAAAATTTTCCATAACCTCATGAAGTGGATAAGCAGCAGAATAAGTATTATTTCTAATAAGTCTTTCAATTCCAAAACGCATTTTGTCTACTCTATTCCCTCTATCATAACGTGTTCTAATTAATAAATCATAGACCATACGAGCACGATCCGCTCGAGAAAAGAAATTGTCGGGATTTTCCCAATTTACAAAACTGGAAAAAATATTTATTAAACGGTTGGTTGCCCTCTTCATCTTTTAGAAAAATCAGCTTTTGACTCCAAAAATACGAATTTAAAATTAATTAATCTTAGTGTAGGATACCAAAAATTCATTTTCCAATTTAAATATGGGGAAAACTGTGACACCTGCATCAAAAAACTTATGGTTAATTCAGTATTAATCGCTCCTAACAATAAGTATTGAATACTTGCCAGTTATTTCTAACAAAATAGATTTTTAATTAAAAAAGGAGGTAAACCTAAAAAAATACAAAAAATCAAACCAATGTAAATGTTGAGCTACAAAAGGCTGACAAAAATATTCTTCTGTTTCTATTCGATTTTTAAGCGATTCTTTATGATTAAGAAATTTAATTCTTTTTAAAATTGAATTTATACAACCATCCATTAAATTAACTTCCTAAAATTTGTTTTTTAAATCCAAAAAAACTAAAAACCTTTTTAACATCATTTCTATGTACAGGCATCCTAATCATTAATAATTCTGCTTGTTTCATTAAAACACGAAAGGGAGCATGGACAAGTATAAATTTAACATTTCCTTGCTTAAATTTAAAAGAAAAATTAAAAAAGGAAAATTTTATGAAAACAGAATTGAGAAGAAAATAAAAAGAAAATGAAGATCAAAAAATAGTTGAGGAAATATTTTTAGGGAATCTGTTTAAGGAAATTTGTTTAAAATTGTTTATATTTTAAAAGTCACTCAATAGAATTTCTAATAAGCTTACACGGAGAGGTTGCGAGGTGTCCGACCTAAAAACGGTCGAGACCGGGCTCATTCGATAGACACCTCGCAACCTCTCCGTGTTAATTTAAAGAAAGCTTAATTTAAAAAATTTATTTAAGTGAAATTTCTCTAGGTAGAGAATAAGAGCTAGCCAAAATAGAAAAAAATCTAAAGAATAGATAAAAATTATTGACTGATTAAAAACTATTTCGAAAAATGCATATTTCCTTAAATCTTAAAAATCCATATCTAGTATGGAAGGTGTATGCAATCCCGGACAAAATTTAAAATAAACTTCCAAACCTTCGAAGTAACATATTCAAGTTCTAAACCAAGTGCTTGCATATTACTCTCAAAAATTTGTCTTTTCTCCATTTGTTCATCTCCTGAAGATTCTTCTTTACTTTCATACTCATCCATAGCCTTTACTTCATATGCCAAAACAAAATCTATTAGTCTTTTACCATCGGAAAAATAGGAGGACTGTCTAAAAGTATAGAAAAATATATTAGTTTATTAATTCTTTTAAAAATTAGCAGACTAATGTATCCGATACCCAAGACAAACAATATTTACGGACAATTATTAAGTCCAACTTTAATTAAATTTTGACAAGTAAATTCCCTCCATAATACCCTTCAATAAAATAATTTTTATAAAACATAACTTGTTTGGAATAACCCTCGTTTATTCACATCGCCACCATTTGAATGTTCAATTTTATCTGTAATTTTGTCATTCCTTTTCATCTCTTCAAGCTTAAAAAAATTTGAATTAACTAAAAATACACCTAATTTACCAACTTGAAAACATTCCTTGTCAAATCCGACTTTATTGGATTTATTAGTTTGATTTGTATCTAAAAAATATAGAAAAAAATTTATTAAAAAATTACACATATTTTAGAGCAAAACTAATTTAAATTTTTCAGTTAAATTTGGAAAAACATTTGACGTTTCTATGAAAACTAGAGAATAATTGGAAAAAATTAATAAAAAAAAAGATTTAAGATAATTGAGGTATAAAATTTAAATTTGTTAAAGCCTATAAGGTGCTAATTATTATTTAATGATGAGGGGAAAATAAGATGAGGAGAAAATAAGAGATAGGTATTTTAATTATTTAAAAAAATAGGGAATTCTAAATATTTTTAGACCAAATAAAAATTCATTTTAAAAATGCTTCATCCATTTTTATGACTAATCAAAAGAAAAAATGGTAAAAATAAGGGGTGAATGACCTTGGAAAAGCGTAAAAAAGGAAGCGATCAGACCAATCAATTATTTTCAATGAATCAACAATTTTTTTAAACGTTTCCCCCTTTGAATATCTTTATTAAAAAATACCTTTATTTTCATTTTGCAACATAATTTCAGAATCATCACATTCAACAGGTATTTTAGCATGTAATTGTTGTAATTGCCTTCTTTTTGAATTCATTCCCCCCTTATTTTAGAAACCAAACAAGATGTTAAATACCTTCTTTGCCTTTTTCAAGTCCTAAAAAAGAAAGTAAAAAATAAGAGAATTAAAAAAAGAATTCTTTAGTAAAATCAGCTGACTTATTCTCACTCTTTCATTATTCTCAGTAAAGAAAAAATCAAAACATTTTCTCTCACAAAATTATGTTGTCTATTAAATTTAAAAACCACTATAAGTATTTTCTCAGCAACAAAAGGACTTTTAAATACTTTTAGTGAAAGTCTAAAAATAAAGAGTGCAAGGCTAAATGATTTTTTCGTTTTGCCGAAATGGTTTCTCTAAACTAATTAATATTGAACCCGACAGAACCCATTTTTTTCCTCCCCAACCTTTTCCTATATATCTACAGAATGGTCAGACTTCATCTCATTTCAATTGCCTTTCTATATTTTGTTTTCAAACAATCAAAAGGAATTAAACTTTATCTCCCCTTGATGGAAGAAAGGAAAATTGGGAGGGAAGAAGTTTGACCATTCTGTAAATATATAGGAAGATACTTTGGGAGGAAAAAAAGAGGGAGCTTGTCAGGTTCAATATTCCCGACTGATCTAAGAATAAGCCATAGTTTTTACTAAAGACTGGATATCTCGAGAATTTACTTCTCGAAAAACTCTTTTTTTGTCGTAAAAAAATTAAAAAATTAATTGGATAAATAATTAAACCAATAAATTAAAACAATTAAATCTTAAAATAATTTCTTTTTCAATTTCTTTAAAAAATAACAAAATAATTTAAAAACAATATTTTTTTCTCAAATTTTAAAACTCTGTAACGGATCAGCCATCTTCTTTTGAAAATTTCTTTTAGCAAAATTCTTTTCATTTTTTTGTTTATTAAATTTTCTTCTTTTTTGATTTTCCCCATTTTCATTATTTTTTCCTTCTTCATTTTCAACAAAAAATTGTTTTCCCGATCTTTTCCTTTTTCTTCTATTATTATTTACTATATTTGGTGATTTATATGTTTCAGAGAATTTTTGACCTCTCAAAGCTTTAGGAACTTTAATTAAAAAAAATTTTTTTTTATAAATATTTTTAAAAAAAGTTTCCACAAACCTAAATAATCGGGAACATCTGCTATTGCTGGGCTATGTATTTTCAATTTATATTGTTTTTTATCTTGTTCAAAGGCTAATCTTTCACGAGGATTTTTTTCAAAATAAGCGTCTAAACGTTTTGATTTGAGTAATTCATCTCGAATTTCTGCCATTCTTGTCTAAAAAATAACAAATTTAAGCAAAATTTTTTAAAAATACCTCTCTAATAACAGCCCGTGTACAAGCAGCTAAAACTTCTCTAGCTCTTAATTGAAATCCTTCAAAATCCTGCATACGGACTTGATAAGGGCGAAGAACGGGTTGTCCCACTAAAATAAAGAAAAATTTTTAAAATTTCATAAAATATTTGAGTGGGGGGGGTCTTTAAAGTTCTAATCGTTCTAACAGAAAAAATAACCAAAAATTCTTTATCTTCTAAAATAAACTCTTCTTACTTCTTTCATTAACTTCTTGTCTAATTTGTTCAAACAATGCTTGTTCTGATAACAAACAAAAAGAAATTGCTGTTCCTTTGTTAAATCCTCTAGCAGTTCTTTTAAAAATTTATTTACAAATAAAATTATTCAAAAAATTAAAACCTTCCAACTCTGTGCACATACATATCAGTAGATAAAGGAAAATCAAAATTTATAACATTTGGGACTAAATGAAAATCAATTCCTCTGCCGATTCCTGATTCTTTGTCTAAATGTCGTTTTTTGTTTTTCTTTAATTCTTTACGTTTTTGCTTGAAATATTAAATAAATTTTTAAAATTAACTAACAAAAAATTAAATGTAAGAAAAATTGAATGGCATCAAGGATAACCAGGAAAACTTCCAAAAAATCCAGTCAAAAATCGTCGAGAGATCAGAATCCGCTCAAATATGTGTTATAAATAGAGCGTGTTTTTTTAGGTTTTTACCTATTTTTTTGCGAACAGCCCTTGATGAGATAAGTCGAAAAAACACTGTTTTACCGCATAGTGTAACGTACTTTTCGAGTTATTAAAACCTAAAAAACCTATTTCGACCTTTTCGGACCTAAAACCTATTTTGAGCCTATTTCGACCTTTTTTGGACCTATTCTAGGTTTTTTTGAAAATTTTTCTTAAATTTGCTTATTTTTAGTCAATTTCCGCCAAATCTAGCATCTCAAACACTCAAAAACCCAAAAAATTTTGCCTGCGGCGCTATTATTCTGGTATATCCCTGAATTTTCCCTGAATATTAAACTTTAATGCCGACACAATTTTGGTCAACAATTTTTTTAAATTTTTATTTGTTTATTTGGGAATTTAGACAGATAAAAAAAGATATCAATGAATTTGGAGTGGAATAATTGATTTGGGCGATTAAAAGAGATAACGGAGATTTGTGTTGTTAAGTGGGGGTTCTGGATTATTATTTTTAGTAAATTAGTTTTTAATTTTCCTTTCACTGTATACCTCAAAATCCCCCTAGGTGGATTTGAAAGAAAAAAATCTCCCGATATAACGTTAAATCAAAGATATTTCTTTAATTATTCTTTATCCTAATTAAATGCTACAACTCCCCTGCCTATCCAAATCCCTTTAACCCAATAAATCCCCATTCAATGCAAATCCAACGATATCCCATTTTATCTCGTACACCCCTTATATTAGAAATCCCTTAAAATGCTACGGTATAGAGGGTTAGGCATTGTTATATCACTCAAATTTCGGTAAATTTCTATTTAAAATAAAAAATATCATAAAAAAGTTCAAATTTAGTAAAAGTGATATCAAAAATGTTTTAATTTCAACCAAAATTAGAACCTATTTTGTCAAAATTTGGACCTATTTTGGCCTTTTTCGACCTATTTCGGACCTATTTTTAAGTTTTTTTGGACCTAAATGAGATCCTATTTAGCAATTTTTTGGACCTAAAAAAACACGCTCTAGTTATAAAGATCAAGATCGACCTCAAATTCGACGCTCAGATTTAATTACAAAAATGTGTCAATTATCTCCTACCATAGCGTTCCTTAACCCTTATTTACTTACTCTTTAACTTCTTAACCTTACCTTATTTTTCTTTACTTTCAAATTTTCTTCTGATTCCTGGGAATCATCAAAAATATCATTACATTCTGATGCAATCAAAAAGGGCCATTTTCCTTGATTAAATTCGCGAATAACTCTACAGCGAGAATTTGTTGGCATTTGAGCATTTAAAACACAAGAAGGGACTTTAAATGCTTGCAGAAATAAATAAAGCCTAAAAAATTGGGAGAAAAAATTAATAAAAGTTCCCAAAAATTTCAAACTTGTAACAACGGTCCACAGTAGAAACAAAAACGACAGATTTACCAACTAGCAATTTAAGTTTTATAAGAGCCATTAAAATTGTAAAACGTTCCTCATCATTTTGGCAAGAAATGTGAAACTATCAAAAGAAATTACCAAAAATAAAAAATTCAAAAACCTGTTCTAATTGATCAGTTCCGGGCAAATCTCGTTCTTTTAATTTAAGTGAAAGCATCTTTCCTTCAACAAAAGTTTTTTGAATTTCACTAAGATCTTCTTTAAGAGTTGCAGAAGTCATTATTGTTTGAAATCGTTTAGGCAAAAGTGCTTTTAATTTTCTAAAATTAATTTATTGTTAGTTTATATAAGGGAGCCTTTCGGCAATCCCGGAGAATAGGGATTTCTTCAAAAAAAAATTTTAAAAATAAGAAAAAGAATTTTTCTATGGTAGAAAAATGTGCTGATTACGAATATGAGCTCGGATTTTGAAAAAAAGTTCGGGATTCGACTTTTTCAAAATTTGAGCTAATATTCGCAATCACCACATTTTTCCCTAGAAAAATCCTTTTTATTTTTAAAATTTTTTTTCGAAGAAATCCCTATTCTCCGGGATTGCCAGCCGTTCCAGTTTACAAAATTTACTTCATTTCATCCTGATATCCATAAGAAAATATTAAATCAGCTTCATCAAGCACAACAGTCCGAATTCTATCCAACAACCCAGGGTTCTTTTCCACAACGGCCAATAAACGTCCAGGCGTTCCCAACAAAATATCAAGTAAATCATCATTTAAGGTTTGGTTCTCGTTAGGATCAAGATAATGAACTAAATCGAGAGCTTGAATGAAAGGAAATGGAGCAATTAATTGTTGAAGTTGAGTGAATATTTGAGAAGTTAATTCTTTTGTTGGAGCAACAATAAGAACATATGGACCTCGCATATCTGCAAATGGCCTTTCCTAGAAAATTAGAGAAAGTTACAAAAAATACTTTAAAAATCAAACAATATTAAGCTGCAAAATATTCTGAATAAGAGGAAGTAAAAATGCCGCAGTCTTTCCACTTCCAGTGCGTGCTCTAGCAAGAACATTCTTTCCACTCAAAACCATTGGAATCATTGAAGCTTGAACTGGTGTAGGTGTTTCCCAATTCATTTCTGCAATCATCTAAAAGAATACTTTTAAATGGAATAATTTTGAATAAAAAGATTTGAACCTTAATTAGCCTGTCATCGAAATCAAATTTCGCAAATGCGTTATCAGCAGCAACATTTTTAGGTTCCTTGTCCATTTTATGCTCCACTCTAAAAAGCAAAATTAAAAAAAAATAAATAAAATTCTTTTGAGTGGTATGGCATTTTTGTATTTTAACATTATGAAAATTTAACAAATTTATGTTGAATTGTCGAAATTTAATTTGTTCATAAGGCGAAATGTCAACAAATTTTTGATTTTTCTTGATTTTTGAGCTAGTGTTTAGGTTTCTCTTTTAAGACTTTATGCTTTAGTTCAGTTTTTGTTCTAGAGGAAAAAGTTGATCTTATGAAACTCGGTTTAGACAAAACTCGGTTAAAAATTCTGCATTTTCAATGGACTTGGGTCTTTTTGGCGCATGTGATGTTTTCCCCGTTGTTGGAACAACTTTTCCTGTAATCGGAACAACATTTTCTTTGGTTGGATCTTAGTTGTAATAACTTGTAACAAATAAGACCATCACTCGTGCCAAAAAGATATGGTTAATTGAAAATGCAGTTTTTTCTTTAATCGAGTTTTGGTGGACTGAGTTTTGCCCTGACACTCTGTATTTTCAACTCTACAACCATTTTAACAGTTTTTAAAATCATTTTAGATTTTTCATTTTTGTTTTATTTTTAATTGATCAATATCTAATTAATAAAAATGGCAGAAGGAAACGAGGAAGTTAATCCTAAAGTAAATTTTTACTTCCTTTTATCGTTTCAATCCTTCATTTTAGGCTTATCCTTTGGCTGATATTCAACTTTCTCAAAAATTGTTGGATATTGTTCAACAGGCAATGAACTATCACCAATTGAAGAAAGGTGCTAATGAGGCAACAAAAACGTTGAATCGTGGCATTTCTGAGGTTCCCCTACTTTATTTACTTTTGCTTAAATTAAGCTTTAGTTGATTGTTATGGCTGCGGATGCTGAACCGCTTGAGATAATTCTTCATTTGCCACTTCTTTGTGAGGACAAGAACGTTCCGTATGTTTTTGTTAAGAGCAAGGCAGCGTTGGGACGTGCTTGTGGAGTTACTAGACCAGTAATTCTTTTAATTAGGAAAAATTTTTAACCAAAAACTTTAGGTGATTGCTGCTTCGATTACGCAAAATGAGGGATCTCAGCTGAAATCACAGATCCAACAAATTAAAGAGGATGTTGAGAAACTGTTGATTTGATAACTTAAATTGATTTTTGATTTGTTTTTGATTGTTAAGTTTGGTATATTTTCAAATTAAAACTTTGTTTACATTGAATTTGTTGGTTTTCTTTAACGTTTTTTACGTTTTAATCTTTTAATATTGATTTGTAAAAGTAATTTTATCGGAGAAAAAGCGATGAGTTTTGTTCCGGGCTTGAATATTTCTGATTCTAAGAAGGTCCCTGATCCTGGTACAATTGTTGACACAGTAGCTGAGATTGCTGAAGAAGCAGAAAAATGTAAGGTTTACTTTTTGTCTAAAGGCATTTAAAAATAATTTTTAGCCAGTATAAGTTCAAGATTTGGCTTTCAATTTGATGATGATCCTGAGACCTTTATTGAGGTTGTGTTAAGGTTTCTTTGGAGTTTGGTAATCGACTACGGGTTCTACGTCGTTTGTGGATTGTCTTTATATTCACTTATTGTTATGTTAATTAAGAAACGTTACATGGCTGGAATTGTCAATCGTTGGAGTAAGTTTTTACCTTTATTTAATTGATTTAATGCCTGAGATATTGAGTTTCTAAATATAGCTTTTTAATAAGGGCAGAGCTAATAAGGAAATGTTGCGAGATCTCCGACCTAAAAACGGTCGAGATAGGGCTCATTCGTTAGAGAATGTGTGTTTTTTTTTGAGCACAATAAGGCCCTTTTTTAACTTCCTTTAAATGATATTTTTTAGAATTATATCTTAATTATCGTGGAACGTTAAAAAGGATGAGTTTTCTATTAGAAAGGAACTACAAAATTGAACTCTGGAGTGATCAAGAATTTTGTAAAAGTTATTTACAGGTATAAATAAATTATAATTTTGTATTAATTAATTTTTTAGTTGTATGAATCATTCCGTTTCTTTCGTTCAATGGCAAACAGAGACCACAAAGGAGATTCTATTATCGATGATATTAAGCAACAGGCGGAGGCTTATCCACTTTACCCATTTTTTAATGTTGATTATAATTTGCGTGATCGACTTTTGTATGCACTTGAAGGGGTTGATTGGGTTGGCAAAGACGAGGACGAGGAGGTTATTTTTGTTAGATTATTTCAGTTCTTGACATTCAAGGGCCCCTATAAATTTTGTTTTCGACTGTATTTTGTAACATAATTTTAAAACCAAAACTACAAAATGGGCTGGACATAATAACAAGGGAACTGGGGAAAAAGCAAATTCTCGGATTTGTATTTCTTTTTATTTTAGGAATTGACCGCTAAAAGTTTAAGTGAACTTACTGCTAAAAGTACTGGTGCTGATAGGGAAACTAGTTCTGAAGAATTTGTGGATGGATTAAAGAAACGTCAAAGAAGCAACGCTGAAACCGTTACTGCGAGGGATACAAAAAGCGACAGATCGGTAGAAAGCAATTTTGAGAAGGGAAGTAAATTTGATTGAATTTGGAATAATTATTGAACATATCAGAATATTTAATTTTATTATATTTTTGCTAAGTTACGGGTATTAAATTTCTTTTTGTTATTTTTTTGAGAGACTTGTTTACGTGCAAATATTATTTTTTAAATTTATTTTTTACTTTGTAACCTTCTTTTTGCCTTTTAGAACATTTTTGTTTAACAAATCTCAATTTTTTACTTTATGAAAAACTTTGCATGTTTTAATGGATATGATTTATCTTCATCCGATTCGGATACATCTACTCACAGTGCAGCTACTCAGGATGAGTCTATGCCTTGTTCGAGTAATCGAATTGATTCTGATGAAGAAGTAATTTTGTTAAATTTGTTTTTGTTTTTAATTGTTTTTTAGGACGAACAGCTTCCGCAACAGAACGTGAATGGAGGGGGACGAGTGGATGAGGTTTATTGTATAATTATCGAAATCTATAAATGTTAAGGTTTTTGTGGTTGAGAAAATTTTGGCAAAAAAGATAATAGATGGTATCATTTATTACAAAATCAAATGGAAAGACTATGATAGGCCTGAGGATGACACGTGGGAAGAGGTTGATTTTTGTGCTTTAAATATTTTATTTAATTAGATTGATAATTGCCATTGTGTTGACCTGATTAAAGAATACGAGGATTCTCACAAGAATGACAAAGTGCAAGTTATCTCAACTAAACCTCAACGAAAGGAGACTCGTGGAAGGAAGCGCAAATTTCGCAAAAGCATGGTATTTTTTAGTTTGTAATAATTGAAAATCCTCCTTTGATTTTTATCCCATTATGTTTGGTCGGGTTAATTTTTCCTTGCAGGATTAATAACGTTAATTTTAGCTAAACATCTTTTGGTAATCCTTTGGTTTAGATCCTCTCTTTTTTCCTGTTTGCATGACCATTTTATGCTTTTTTCTTGAATTTAAAAGAACCCTTTGGGCTGGTCAATTGTTAATAAGATCAGTTAGATTTGATGATTTGGGACAGCTACGAAGCTGGTTTTGTGCCGATTTTTTGATAAATATTAAACTTTCCTATACATTTTTTAACTAATTTTTTAATATTTTTTAGACTAATGTCATCGCTAAAAAACAAAATGTTGACCACACTTCCAGACAAATACCTTTCGGTTTTAATTTTCTTCAACTTAATCTAGCATCTAAATTTTAAGTTGAAAAAGAAAATTATTTCTTAAACGGAAAAGGTATGGTAGTGGACACAATTTTGGGATTTAGCAGATTACCTGACAATGGGAAGACGATGGCTTTGGTTTAATTAAATTATTTTTAATAATTTTTAAAGTTCTCTTAAGGTTTGTTATTTGGATGGACAAATCGAGTATATCCCTGTTGATTTATTGCGTAAAAATGAAAGTGGAAAGGAGGTTTATTTTTTTTGTAGAAATTTTTTCGGGTTTTAGGACTTTTAAAAATTTTAATCTAGCAATAAACTTGTTAAATTGAATTAGGTAAATGGAAAGAAAATTTGTCTAGGGGGAAGTTCTTTCCTCTCTCTCCTTCGAAACTAACAATAAGGCTTTCATTTCTTCGGGAATTATTTTCGATCCTTTCGTTAGATTTTCAATTATGATAGTACTCCTTCGTTTCCTAAACAAGTTAATTGTTATAATTTTTCGACTAATTACACATATAAATTCTATTCTTTTCCAGCGTCTTGTTGATTTTCTTTTACAACGTGTTCAATTTATTGATCTTCCCTGATATATTTTGGGTATTAAATGTTTATTTGAATATTGATCTTTCTTTGCATTGATTTCTGTTGCGGATTCTTCACTTACCTCGATGATTTTAAATTTAGTTCAAATATTTTTTGAAATTTTTTTCATCTTTTTGCTGCATATTACTTGATTATATTGGTGATAAATGTTGATATTTGCTTAATTATTTTTAACAAGTTACCTGTATTTTTATAGTTTAATATATAATTTATTTACTTAATTTTAATTTTTAATTATTTTTTTCGAAGCTCTAGTATTTATAAAGAATTTGTTTAAAAATGGTTACGACAATTGGACATTTGTGAGTTTTTAATTTTCGGCTAGAAAATTTTGTTAAGAATTTTTGAGCTTAATTTTTGCGGACAAAGTTATGATCTATTAAGGATTTTTGAGGGTGTTCTTTTTAATAACACTGCTAGCTTTTTCGGTATAAAGTAGCTTCCTCCTTTTTTAAATGATATAAATTTTGCTTTTCGATTTTTTGTAAATTCATTTTGTGAATCATTTTTGCATAATTGATGATCATCCCTTCTCCGTTCGTGTTAGAAAGCACAGCCCTTTAGAAAAAGCAAATCGATTAATTGAGAACATCCAGAATCCTTGACACTTCATAAATCAAAATCGATCGATCAAATCGATTAATTGAGAACATCCAGAATCCTTGACACTTCATAAAGACAATCTTTAATATTACGCAAATTTATCCGCAAAAATAAATGTACAAGAAATCTGTAAATTTTGACAAATATTC